AAACACTAAATTGGCGAGATGACTGAAGCTATTTTCATTCATTCCATTCATTTTTAATAGAATAAACTTTTTCCCAAAACATATCTATATTCAGATCGCTGGAAATATCAAGCACACTTACCCTCAGTAAATTTCACTGCATGGTTATTTTAACAAGATCGCAATCTGCGAGATGAGGAAACTTAACAAATGAGGTAAAATTGGTAAATCTCCTTTAGAAACTACCTTAGCTGGTGTCATTATTTGTAAAAGTTTTATATCTTCACACTTGAAATCAAATTTTAAATTTATTTGGTCCAAAAACTCTATGTAAAACTTCAATATGTTGGTTTTAACTTCAAGGATTCCAGAACAATTGACATTACTTTTCATAGACATTTCAGCTTTCGTTCCAACAAAATTGTCAGATATTTTGACATGATTATTTTCAGTTTTGAAATCAACAAAAAATTTTCATGCCTATGGGATTTGCCACGCCATCTTTTACAAACTTATTTATATTTATCTTTTTATAAGCACCTACCATAGCTACACCTGCACTCCAAATTTCAAGTTCGTGCGACTTATGGTTCCGAGGTCATACCTGATAAAAAATTCCACGCCTATGGGATGTGCCATGCCCCCTTTTACAAACTCGTTTATATATACCCTCCCATAAGCACGTACCATTGACATGATGCATACCAAATTTCAAGTTCGAGTGACTTATGGTTCCGAAGTTATAGCTGATAAAATATTACACGGCTATGGGATGTGCCACGCCCCCTTTTACAAACTCGTTAATATATACCCTCCTATAAGCAACTACCATTGGTATGTCTGCATACCAAATTTCAAGTTCGTGTGAGTTATGGTTCCGAAGTTATAGCTGATAAAAAATGCCACGCCTATGGGGTGTGCCACGCCCACCTTTTGCAACCTCGTTTATATATACCCTCGTATAAGCACCTACCATGGATATGTCTGCATACCAAATTTAAAGTTCGTGTAACTTATGGTTTCGAAGTTATAGCTGATAAAAAATGCCACGCCTATGGGGTGTGCCACGCCCACCTTTTGCAACCTCGTTTATATATACCCTCGTATAAGCACCTACCATGGATATGTCTGCATACCAAATTTAAAGTTCGTGTAACTTATGGTTTCGAAGTTATAGCTGATAAAAAATGCCACGCCTATGGGGTGTGCCACGCCCACCTTTTGCAACCTCGTTTATATATACCCTCGTATAAGCACCTACCATGGATATGTCTGCATACCAAATTTAAAGTTCGTGTAACTTATGGTTTCGAAGTTATAGCTGATAAAAAATTCCACGCCTATGGGAAGTGCCACGCCCCTTTTACAAACTCTATTATATATACGCGCCTATAAGCATCTACCATTGATATGTCCGCATACCCAATTTCAAGTTTGTGTGACTTATGGTTCCGTGGATATAGATTATAAAAACTCCACGCCTATGGGATGTGCCACGCCCCCTTTTACAAACTCCTTTATATATACTCTCCTATAAGCACCTACCATTGACATGTTTGCGTACCAAATTTCAAGTTCGTGGGACTTATGGTTCCGTAGATATAGCTGATAAAAAATGCCACGCCTATGGGATGTGCCACGCCCACCTTTTGCAAACTAGTTTATATATACCCTCGTATAAGCACCTACCATGGATATGTCTGCATACCAAATTTCAAGTTTGTGTAACTTATGGTTCCGAAGTTATAGCTGATAAAAAATTCAACGCCTATGGGATGTGCCACGCCCCTTTTACAAACTCGATTATATATACGCGCCTATAAGCATTTACCATTGACATGTCCGCATACCAAGTTTTAAGTTCATGTATGTGATTAAAAATTTCACGCCTATGGGAGGTGCCACGCCCCCTTGTCGGATCCCAATTTTTTCCCTATTATAGGCCCTGGTGTAATGGCAATACTCTGTCAAAATTTTGTTCGATACTGTCCGTCCGTTTAGATTGCAATCCGGCACATACATACATACATACTTTCACAAATATATAGTAGATTTCAGAAGCAGAAACTGTAATGTCACCCATGATACAAAAAACAAGGTAGTTCCATTGTCATTTTTTCGTCGCCATATTAACAACCTGACAATTAAGCAGATTGTGACATTTCGTGCTACCATACCCAATATCTAAAATCCTTCAAATTTTCTTATTAATTTTTTGTCGATTTAAAAATCTTTGTTCTTAAGCATAGTATTTTATTCCTATTTCACGTGAAAAAGCTCTTAAATTGCAAATAAAATTTCTTTCTGTGAAATAAGTGTGAAATTCCACAACATTTCCTCAGCAAAGTAGTATTCTACTCACGCTGTGAAAAAGCTTGCAACATTTTTGCAAAATGGAGCTAGCAACACAATTTTCATGACATTTTTAAATACACATGTACATAAAAGTGGTCCAAAAATGTATGTAAAAACAAATAAGGTCAGATTTTTAATGCTGCCGCCCCCTAGGATTGTTATATGCCAAGAAAAATATACCCATTTTTTTTTATTTTGAAATATAAAATAATTTAGGTAGTGCTCAAAGCGCTCAAAGTTTTCCATGTATTTTATATGGAGAAAAAACATATTTTCGTAGAAATAGTGTAGAATCCTTGAAAATCAAATTTTTCGATGGGAAAACTTTACTTATCTTCAGGAGATTCCCAATAATAATACTCAATTGTTTCTTTAACAATTTTTTCATGGTAACTATATTTTATAGGTCTTCCAAAGCCCTTAGAAAATGCAATGGGGGAACCAATAAAAAATCTTTAATCATAAAAAATGGTTAAAAAAAAACAATTGGATATTAATACTGGAAGTCTCCTGAAGAGAACCACAGTTTCCTGGTCGAAAAATATTGATTTAAAGAGTTTTATACCATTTCTACGAAAAATTGTTTTTTCTCCATATAAAATACATGGAAAACTTTGAGCGCTTTGAGCACTCCCTAAATATTTTTTGATTTCAAAATAAAAAATAGGGGTATATTTTTTCGGTATAGATCAATCCTAGGGTGTGCCAGCATTAAAACTCCGACTTTATTTTTTTGAACCACTCTAATGTACATTTTAAATTGTGTGAAAGCTGACAGATTATAGAATTCAGTAGCGGGGAAAACAAAGGGGGGTTAAGTGGTTAAACCTTACCCAAGCCGATCGTAAAACTTGCGACGCAATTTCAGCTTATGCCTGTCGGCCTTGGCATGAATGTAATCCCTCAAGGTTTAGCTTAACATGGTTCTAGGGATACACCCTGTGATCATGTTAGTTTCCAGAAGGTATCACGCCCGTTTTTCTGTACATATTTCCATTGGAAAAATGCCTCATCTCAGTATTATAGGTAAATGCTTCCAGAGGTATCTATGCGTCACCAGAATTTTAGTTTATATGGCTTATACCGCTAGCTCTCGTAGCTGGCTACGAGATCGTTTTCATATACCCTCCATTTTTCATAGATTTTGGATTGATTTCATTTACCTCTATCCCAAGTTCTACGGTGGCATGCTGTATTTTCCAATAAACCCATATTTTTCCATGAGCTCGAGATTGACTTCATATACATACATATATCCATACCAAGTTCCAGAACTCTACCATAAATACTTCCAGAGATATGCACTATGAAAAATTCGATTGTATGGGAGGTTCCACACCCCCTTTAGATATCGGTTTTATTTTAGCCTATACCCATTCTTGGAAGGTTTGTGTCCGAAATTTCAAAAAAAAATGCTATAGCCGGTGTGGGTATTGTGACTCCTCAAGGGAAATGAACTAATGATTGCAAAAAATGAAATCAAACGTCGTAGTTGACCAAAAAAGAACATAAGACTTAATTCTCTCAACTTCTCAGAATGTAGAAAAGCTAAGAAATATATAATAAGAGAGGATATATTAAAACAGCCTCCAGAACATTTACCAAAAGACGCCCCTGAACTACACAAATCAGTTTGATTGAAAATTTGTTTTTATCTATTTATTTTATAATTCACTTTTGGGTGTGTCAAAACTTCATCTGAAAACAATATGTGTTGCTGGAAAAATTTCGCGGCCCGTGGGCCACGAAGTAAATTCCATTTGCTGTTAAATAAACAAAGACAATATGTATTAAATAACACATCGAAATGTATAATTTCAGTGTCTGAGTCTCATTGTATCCGATATAGAAAACTACAGTGTGAAATAATCAGATGACATGAGGACACCTAAAAAAAAAATTTAATATGTTCACTAACATTGTATTAATATTAAAATATTGTTTTGGCAAGTTGTTATCGAATTTAATGTAAAATTTAAACGTTTTTAAGATAAGATATTAATTATTTTTAAAAGGTAAATATTAACACAAATATTTTATTTATAATCCCAAATTTAGGATATAAAATCTCCCACACCAAAAAACTTACAATTGGGTAACGCCGCTTCGATTTTTTCACAATTGAGCAATTGTCAAAAATCTGATTTTTAATCAAAAAGTTGTTTATTGAAACTACCTTCTTTTTTGTATCATGATGTCACCATTTCTCAAAATAATTTCGAGAATTTCTCGTTTCGATAATTTCGCCATTATTAAAGAAAAATTAAATAAAAATATGTATGTTCTTCCGTTACCTCAAATCTAGGTTTTTGTCTGTTAGGAAAAAGGTTCTTTCAAGCGAAGTGAATATGCACGCGTTTATTTGCTGACTGACTTCTAGTCGTTGTTTCTTTTTATTTTGTGCTTATTACTAGTACGCTACAATACGTCATATGCTACAAATACATACTTAAATATTGATCAAGTAACAGTATATAAATTCTCTCCCAGGCTTATATCCAAAACCGCCTGGTAACAGTTTAACTTTCTATTTCATATATGCGCTTTCAAAACAAACTTCCATAAAAACTTTCACTATATAATTAAGAAATGTAATGTTAAAAGTTCATTCTATTCCCATATTGCAGTCGCTGCGGTGGTCTTCGCGTACGACTTGAACGTCTTACGTCGTCACCAACGGTTGTTGTTGTTTTTATCGGCTCCGTCGTTTGTTGTTGTTCTTGCTGAGATTTCACCACTTCTGTTGAGTCAGTTTTGGTTGTTTGTAAGGATTGTTGTGTTTCTGGTAAATTCTTCATAACCGATGGTTCTGGTGAATTCTTCATAACCGAATTAGCACCCTCAGTTTCTTCTGGTGGCAATACCTCAATTAACGTGCCACGGTTTAAGTCCTCACCAACTTTTCGAATCTGATCCACGTGGTGTTTCCAGATACGACCATCGACGGGCTTTATATCGTAGTGCAAAACTCCCAAAACAGCATTAATTTTCCCGAACTGCCATTTGTTGTTCGTAAGGTAGTCTCATACGGCGACTCTATCACCCACTTTAAATTGATTGGTTGTCGAATTTCGTGTTTTATCTCAATATTGTTTTCTGGTAACAAGAGATCAAGGCATGATGAAATTTGTCGTCCGTTCATCATCATAGCCGGACTTCCCTTAGTAGCCGGGTGTATCGCACGTATGTAAGCAAGTAATATTTTCGCCAGTTCCCTCCTTAAGGTTTGCGGTTCTGCCCCAGCGGCCTTTACTTTGCTTTTTATAGTCTAGACGAATCTTTCAGCTTGCCCATTAGTAGCAGGATGGTAAGGAGCGCGTTGCTTGTGTACAATTCCATTTGACTTTAGGAAAGATTGGAATTTTTCGGAGTTGAATTGTGTTCCATGGTCGCTGACCATGACACGGGGTATGCCATATATTGAAAAAATTTCTCCGCATTCTTGTATTGTACTTTCCGTGGTCATGTTGTTCACTGCTTTTACGACCGGCCATTTGCTTAAAGCATCACCCAGTACAAATAAATATTTGCCACAAACTGGCCCCGCGTAATCAACGTGTACCCTCTCAAATATTTTACCTGGGGGCAGCCATGGATGGACCGGAACCATTCTTGGGTTAGGTCTCGTACTTTGGCAGGCTGCGCAGTCTGAAATTAGCTTTTCTATGTCATCGTCGATATGTTGCCCTCAGCAATAGGCGCGTGCAAGCATTTTCATTTTCGCCATACCAAAGTGTTCTTCCTCCAAAACCCTGTCGCGTAGCTTTTTAGGTATGTAGACACGAATGCCATGAAGCAGACATCCTTTTTGTAAGGTGAATTCAGCTTTTGGTATACTGAATCTGTCTTTTGGTTCGCAAAATCTTCCGTATTTCAAACATCCGAGTAAATTAGCAACCTCCGTATCCTTGCTTGAGGCTTCGGACAAACAATCGATTTTCACTGGTAAATTCTGGATGAACTCCATCTCGACCACGTCAACTTCTTCAATAGCTGGGTACGTGTCTGAAGAAGGCAATCGCAACAATACATCAGCATTCGCGTTCTCTTGGCTTTTCTTAACTCGTACGTCATAATTAAAAGCTTCTAAGTATATTGCGTAGTGCTGCATACGCGTAGCTGATAACGTCGGTAAGCCTTTTTGTGGTGAGAAAATTTGGGCAATCGCCTTGTTGTCAGTCACTAACGTGAATTTTGTACCAAAAAATTATTGAAAAAACCTCTTTACGCCGAAAATTACAGCATATGCCTCTCTGTCTACTTGACTATACTTTTGCTGTACTGCATTTAACGTTTGCGAAGAAAATTGTATTGACCTTTCGCTGCCATCTGCGAACGTGTGGCTTAGAATTGCACCAACCCCGGTAGGGCTTGCATCCACTGCCAATACCAAGGGTAGCTTTGGGTTGTAATGTGTTAGGATAGTATCCGACTGTATCAAAGTTTTTATTTTTTCGAAGGCTTCAACGCATCTGGCAGTAAATTTAAATGGCACGTTTTGACGTAACAGCATATTCAGTGGGTAAACAATATCGCCTAAATTTTGAACGAACCGCCCGTAATAGTTTATCAGACCTAAAACTGCACGTAATTCATCCTTTGTAGTCGGTGGTTTCATATTCTGTATCGCAAGAACTTTGTTACGTAACTTGCGAATGCCGGTTTTATCGATTTCGTAGCCGCAATATTCCATTCGGTCTCGCAAGAAGTCTGACTTCTTCAGATTGATGCGCATATTGTGCTCATTTAACCTGCGTAAAACATCTTCAATGCGTTGTAGATGTGTTTCATCATTGATCGCTGTGATTTTTATGTCGTCTAGAAATACAGTTACACCCGGCAGGTCGCTGAGGGTTAATTCCATAAATCGTTGCCACTTACTTGGTGCGCACGGTACTCCGAACATCAAACGGGTTGGTTTGTACAGCCCTTTGTGTGTACTAAGGGTAAGTAAGTGTTGATCGTCGGGATGCACTTCGGGTTGTAGGTATGCATTAGACATATCAATTTTAGAAAACTTTTCGCCGTCCGCCATGGCACTAAAAAGTTCGTCAATAGTGGGAAGCAGATGTTCGTCGACCACTAAGGCAGGTTTCAGTGTGACTTTGTAGTCACCACAAATTCTTACGGCCCCTCCGCGCTTTGGGACCGCAACAATTGGCGTAGCCCACTCCGATGTATCCACCTTCACAAGTATGCCTTCCTGCACCTGCCCTGCGATTTCGTCTTCCACTGCCTTCAGTAAAGGGAAAGGTACACGGCTTGCTTTCACGAACTTCGGTGGTACGTTGTTTTTGAGGTAAAGTTTAGCTTGATGACCAACGATTTTGCCAGTTCCTTCTGAAAACAATTGTGGAAATTTCTGCAAAATTTCGTTCAGCTTGCTGCTGACGTCAACGTTTGCGTAAATTGCATTCACACTCGAGGTTTTTTGTAGTATAGAGTACCAACCGAGTTTTATAGTACGTAGCCACTCACGGCCCCACAAAGGCTTGCGATCGGATCGCACTGTAAATTTTTGCATTTTCTGCTTTGCTATCATTCACGCTGACCCAAATGTAACCAAGGCAATCTAGCTTTGTTTTGCAGTAACTGTATAACTCGGTGTCCGTAGTTTTTACACGTTCTTTTGGGAAGTATTTCTTGGCGTCATCTACGTTTATGAGTTTTACAGGTGATCCCGTGTCGATTTCCAACTCAATATTTTTGTTGTTCGCATTAAGTTTGCAAAACACTTTATCACGTGAACCTTTTGCTTTGGGAAGGTTCAATTGAAACAAATCTTCCACCGTGCATTCCTGTTTTGCATTGACGTCCGCACTTATCATATTTAATGATTTCTTTTTACGTTGTAAACACATCTTCTGTAAATGGCCCTTCTTTTTGCAAAAGTGACAAGTCACTTCTTTGTATTGACATTTATCGGCCATATGGTCAGCGTTACCACATCGATAACAATTTTTCTTTGAAATAGTAGAGGTTTCTTTTTTTGTATCGCTTTGAGGTTTTTTGTGTTTGCTCTTTCTGTACTGGATTTTATTAACTGTTTCCCCACCTCCGTTGTTTTTATGTAATTCGCCTCCTTCTTTCTCTGCAGTTTCGTGTGCCTTTGCTAAATTTATTGCATCAGCCAATGTTAAGGATTCTTTTCGAGCAAGCGACTTTAGATTTTCTGGCTGCGTAAGCCAAAAACGAATTGATTACGGAAAGCGGTGTCTAAAAACGCACCAAATCCACATCCCGCAGACAATCTTCGTAATGCCACCAAGTAATCAGTACATGATTCGTCTTCCTTTTGTTTTCGAAGGTGAAAACGGTAGCTTTCCAATATTTCATTGCCTTTAGGATTGAAATAATATTCCAACACAGCAACAATTTCCGTGTACGGCATATCTTCCGGGGCTTTAGGTAGTACTTTTTCACAAAGTATATCGTACGTAGAAGCTCCCATAAAATGAAGAAGTAAAGGTCTTCGTTTCGTTAAATCAGCATTGTAAATTTCCAACGCGGTTTCAAACCGTTTAACCCATCGGCTCCATGTTGTGGTTTTCCGATCAAATGCGTCGAATGTAAATGCGGACATTGTATTGCCAGCAGTATTTCTATTATTCTGTGAGTCAGGCATTTTGCGAAACGCAATTTTAAAAAGAGCTGTCGTATAATTCAGAAACCGATCCTCGTAGCCAGAACTGTTAGGAAAAAGGTTCTTTCAAGCGAAGTGAATATGCACGCGTTTATTTGCTGACTGACTTCTAGTCGTTGTTTCTTTTTATTTTGTGCTTATTACTAGTACGCTACAATACGTCATATGCTACAACTACATACTTAAATATTGATTAAGTATACAGTATCCCTACAAGACAGCTGAGTATCATATGAGTACTCATATTATCATTATCCCTAATCACAAAAGTGCTTATCAAAGTCCTCATTTTCGTTCAGGCCATGGGAAAAAATTGAGTACTTTCCCCTCAATGTTGTCATCAGAAAGTCCTCAGTACTAATAGTCAAACTACTCATTTATGCCGTACTACAAAAACAAAAGTGTAAATGTGTGAGAATTTTTGCCTAAAGTGCTCAGCAATGTCTTGTAGGGATATAACAGCGTCGTTACTAGTTGCAAATGCTAGTTAGCAGGCACGATTCAGATTGCACAACTCAAACCACGCTGTCAACACACAGAGAAACATCGAAAACAGTGAGTCTATGCTGCACATACTGGTACCAGTATAAATTTATTTATTTAACAAATGTCAAATCTACAAGTTAATACATTTATTGTTAGATTATAAATTCTGCTCGTATTGCTAACATCAGCCCTAAGGGCCGTTTTCTCATCTAACCTTTAGTTTACCGGCCACTTTATCGTCTCGATATACGAGTTTTCGTTTTCTCATCAGCGCATTAATTTCTCGAATCGATAAACTGTTGCTCACCCGATGCAACCTTTAAAATTTGTACCCAACTTTAAATTTTGGTTTGGTTTTGGTTCATGAGTCAGATATATTAGATATTTCAACCAAGGTTTTGGTTTTTGCTAACAGTTGCTCTTGCTCTATATTTGCTTATGTTGCATTGCCAACCTTTGAAATTTTATGACGAATGTAGTGAAGTTTCACTCTCGGAAATGTAGTGAAGTTTCACTCTACGGAATAACAAATTTATTTTTACCTTCAAGGTAAGAAAACGAAAACACTTTAAAGTGAGGAACAATTTATCTGCCCTGTTAGTAAAGGCAACTTTACTGCTTACATTAGAAAACGGCCCTAAATATGCTCAACTGCACGATAAAATGTTAAATGTATTCTAAAGAGATATAGCGACGAATACTTTTATATGAGTGGATTAAAAAAATTATGAATTCGGGCAAAAGTGGGCCGACTTTTTTTTAGTTAAGGGTCTAATGAAGAAATTGTAATCAAAGTAAGTCTGATATTTATTAGAGTTTCAGGAAGTTTGCCTTCGGTAGTACCACAAAACGGAAATATTTATAATTGGGTGAATAAAACTTTGTAGTATTTTCCAAAATTGCAATGAATTAACTTAAATTTAGATTTTTTTCTGCCCATGAGTAAATGTAACCGATAAATTAAAGGATGAATTAAATTCTTCCAAACAATAATTAAGTAAGTAGCAAAAAGTACAAACTAGTATGATGAAATTTAAACTAAGTTTTCCAACTTCATGCAAGTGTAGATTAAGTATGGATTATAGTAAGCCAAACGTAATTGCATGGAAAATACTTTCATCATTACTGGTTCAAATGGTATATTTCGTTTTATTGATTTCCGAAATTGACTTTTGGCCATCGAACTAAGTTATCTGGCCCATAGTACAGCGCCCGGTATACATACAGATTTTGCGAACGTAATTATCATTAGTGGTATTCGCGCTTCTGTGCGTTCGCTGTATCCTGCGTAAGTGTAACTGGGCGAGCATCGGTTGTTGTTGCATGTGGATTTGATGTACCGCTAGCAACAACAAATCACACGCTCATACAGTTACGATTACACAATATATAACGAATCCACATAAGAGCGAATTCCCCTATTATTACCAAGTGTTGTGCACATACAGTACTTCACTGTCTCAGTTGGTGAGTGTTCATGATTCAATAATACAAAGTTAGATAATTATTGACAGCTGCGGTTTGACACTCCCTTACAAAAGGTTGCATTTACGAAGGACGGAGAAAGACGAAGAATGAAATCTGTTGGTGCGTAAATGGTAGTAGAAAAGTACGCAAAGTAGGCAATTAAATTTCCTTTTGTAAATTCCAATGTATTTGCAGGAAATCTGGCATTTTAAACGAAATATTGAACGGAATATTACAATATCTACGTGAATTACGTAATTTATGTGCTATTTAGCTGTATAAAAACTGCAAAAGGGCTGAAAATTAATATAAAACTACTGCGACTTTTATCTAAATATCCAATTTAAAAAAAGTTTATGTTTTCATCAGTTAAATGTACTTCATATGTATATACAAATAAGCATATTGCACAAAAGCTTATACTTCTATTTCACACCAAAGCTACACTTTTTACAAGTAAATTTGCAAAGATACAACACGGTGCCACTGCTAAGGGAGCGGTGCGAGAGACAACTGTTAGTTTATCGAACCTTGTATTATTGAATCACGGTGGGTGTTTTTCTCTAGTTCAGTGAGAGTTTGGGATTCGACCGTCGCTGCTGCTGTTCTGCATTATCGGAACATCGATCGTCGTATCGTTGCTATTCATCGCATGAGATTAGCAAATGTAGCTTACATCCCCGTAAATACCACATCAACCCTGTTATTGCTACTGCGCTGTACTAATTCACTGCGTTCCAAGTGCAATTCATATCTAGCTACACTTAACTAATTGGATTTCTAAATTTCTCTCATCCACTCGTTTTTGCAATCAGAATTTTCATTCGTTGCTATCCACGTATCTTGTCTAAGTTGTTAAAATGACAGAAAATCAACCTTCAGTCGAAGAAGTAAAGCAATTACGAGCCTCAACTAAAGGCAGCATTACGCGAATCCGGAATTTAACTGCATAAATTGCTTCAGAAATTTGGTAGATAATGATCCAAACATTCCAGCGATTGAAAAGTTCAACCATTTGCTGACATGTTTGAGCGGTGAAGCGTTGTCCACAGTAAGGGCGTTCCAAGTAACAAACGAAAATTACGGCAAGGCTCTTCAACGTCTAAAGGATCGCTACGACAACAACACCTTAATATTTTTGGAAAATATATCGGCCTTATTTGAGGTTCCCAAGGTGACTAAACCCGCTCCCGCACAGCTACGACATATTGCTGACACCGTCTCTGCTCTGTACAGCTCACTGCAATTTCTTAGATCATTTGAGCAGATATGCGATGCATTAATCATACATGTTGCCTTGAGTAAAGTTGACTCAGAAACAAAAAGCAAGCTGGACGAACACATTGACTACATGACATTGCCTAAGTGGGTGGACTGCTGGGCAATGCTTGACAAACGTTGTCAACAGTTGAACGCATGCTCTAAAGGCATCCAAGGCGCAACAGCGACTTTGTCAACTCCCAACCAATACTCCCAACCATACAAGAATCTATCACTCGCTTTTAACCAAGAGCATCTCCTCAAAGGAGGTCGTGTGCTCGTTTTGCTCCAAATCGGGCACGGTATTTCAACATGCCAAAGCTTCATAGTTTTGTCCGTCGTAGAACATTCGCACCACGTCAAACAGTTAACAGCGTCATTGCGTAAGTCGTAAATTAAGCTAAATTGTACGACTCGACAACATTGGCATTGTCTACTATCGTGTTGAAATAAATAAAGAACGAAAATCGTCGAAAACTATAGAGTACTGCCAAGTTTTTCCGTTTTAATACACTAGTCGAGTGGAAATTTTAGGCAATGACGTGAAAATTTCGATTACGATTCGACTCTCGAAAAATGACTTGCATTCGACACGATTCGCGCAATGAGGGTGTAAAGCTGGGATCACACGATTTGTACATTTGGCTAAAAATTTGTCAAATTCATAGACAAATCATGTGAACGCTAAATTACATTTGTCATTTATGAGAAAAGCCAAATATTTGCCTTCTTGTGGCAAATGAAAAACAACCCTGGTGGCCAAATCGTGTGAACGCAATGCTGCTACATAAGCCAAATAAAAATTACGCAAATGACCAAATATCTGATTTGCCACTTGATGACAAATGCCAGTGACAAATATACAAATATTGTTGAGCGGTATTGCCATTTCGTGCTTGTGAACCCTTGTATTTTCCAATTTTGGTAAAATTTTAATATTTAATTTAATATTCGTATCCGAAAACTACCGAAAAATATCACGTTATTTGAAAACAACAATTTTAAAATATTTGCTCAAACTGAACATTTGAAAACGTATTATACGTATTCGACAGTATCTGAGTGTGCAGAGAAGCATGCGACTATTTGTAAGCTTTCATGAGTCCCAGGTTCTTATGCCGGCAGACGAACATATTAAAAGTATAATTAATTTTTGAGTATAATTAACTTTGAAAAAGTATATTTGAAGTTCAGAATGAAAAATTTCAGAAAACCAGTATTCGTTTCACATCCCTTCGTGGCACTTTACTATTCACCTTTCTTTCAGTTTTCGGATCTCTTTCCGAAGTTTTTACTGGATATACACATATACATACATGCATATCGTCGTATAAAGTACAAACCCGCGTAATTTGCTTACAGAAGCTGTTGGCTCAATCCTTATCCATTCGTCCTGAAATATACATGCGATTGCTTTATAAAAAAGAGAACCATTTTGAAATATGAGTGTTTTTACTATCTAGATAATAATTTATGCAACCTCACATAGGCGGCTTTGCATTTTGTTGATACGCGGTTTTGTACTTTAAACGACGATATACAGATTATTAAAGACGATCTAAATTACACTATGTGACAAAAAAAAAATGTAGATAGTTTTTTTCGAGGTTCATTCTTGTTGTAGGTCTATCTAAGCAGTAAAATCTGCATACTCAAAATTTTAAATACACCCTCAAAATCTGGGCTTAAAGTCAAAAACCGCGTTTTTCAAAGGGTGACGCACAGGTATACTTGCTTACTTAAAAAAAATTTGTGTGGTAGAACCTAAAAAAATTTGATAGATTTCAAAAAAATGTGGTAGATCTCAGGTTTTGGATCAAACTTTGTACAAAAATTAAAAAAAAATCTGCAAGGTTTCTCCTAAATTGCAAACATTTTAATCAGAATCTAAAACAAAATTAATTTTAGTATAATAAAGTGCATGATTGAAGTTGATAAAAATTGCGTTGGTTATGGCAATTTTTTTCCTTGACAGTTTCCTTCCAGCTTTTTTTTATCACATCACGATGTAGCGAACAAACGTGGCTCGTTCCAGAAATGCTACTTGGGATTTGCCGATTTTGACAATTCTCAAGTAAAAGTAAACAACGCTTTAGAAATTTGAGATGCACTGAAATTTGCTAATGCTTTCACAAAAATCGTCGGTTTTTATCATTTTCGCTATTAATTCCTTTTATAAATCATATATTTTGCAATTTAACACAATAAAACCATGTTTGATGTCGTAAAACTGAATATTGAGAAAATTTACTATTTTACAGTTTATTTTGTCCTCCCATTCTGCCTGTTGTTAGTGTTTAGTGTTGGACAATTTTTGCTCTTAAAATTAAGAAAATTATGTTGAGCAAAAATAAAACTACTCAAAAACGCCAATCTGTGGTAGATTTCAGACCTTGTGTGGTAGGTGTGCTCAAAAAAGTGGCAGATCTACAACAATGTGGTAGAAGTCCGATCACTGAAAGGAATCTTACAGAGTATATCGATGGCTGAGTGGAAGATCGACCTATCTCGGCAACCAGTTCGAAAACGCCCTATCTCAGAAAATTTTTTAACAACGCTCTATCTCAGAAAACTTTTCAAGAACGCCCTACTTCAGGATTTCATTGAAAAACGCCCTATCTCAGCTGCCAATTCAAAAACGCCCTATATCGGCTTATTTTCAATGTATTTTCGTTTGAGATAGGGCGTTTTTGAAATGAATTCTGTGATAGGGCGTTATTCAACCAAATTCCGAAATAGGGCGTTTTTCAATCAAACTTTGAAGTAGGGCGTTCTTGAAAAACTTTCAGAGACAGGGCGTTTTTGAACTGGCTTCCGAGATAGGTCGATCTTCCACTCAGCCATCGATATGCAAAATTTAAATTTTTAACATTTTTCATTTTAAATTACGACTTGTCCGACTATTTTGTTAACTAGTATACATACATAGGGTGCCCATTCTGAAGACAAATTAACCATTTATAAATGGTTGTAAACAACGAAATGTTTTCTCTTAAATGGCATATGTAAGTATTTTTCATCGGGCAAACAGAAATAAAGTTACGAGCAAATATATGCTTCAACCTATGAAAAACGCGTTTTTTACCTTCAGCCCAGATTTTGAGAGTGTATTCAAAATTCTGAGTACCTGTGCGTACATATTATTTTTGTTTATTTCACTTCAAATCTCACAAAATCATAGATGCAAAAGTATGGTTGACACTGGATCAGCTGTTTAAGAATGTATTTATGACCAAATAGTCAAATCGTGTGAATGAATGTGGACAATATTTGTCACTTTACTGCTGTGCGCAAATGTGTGCCAAATCATTTGGATCTTTGGCAGCCAAATCGTCTGATCGCAAAACAAATCATTTGTACATCGCTATCCAAATGCGCAAATGTGGACAAATCTAAATTTGGCATTTTGTGTACAAATGCACAAATCGTGTGATCCCTGCTTAAGTCTTTGTTTCAATTGCTTAGCCAAAGGGCACGGAAGCCCACGGTGTCCATCGAAATATTCAGTCGAAGGCATCAGCATCTGTTCACACGACTACGACTGAATCGAAAAGTGAAGCTTCATCGCAACCAGGTCAAGTAATCCTCGCTACCGCCCTAATATTGGTGAGAGACAGCAGTGGAGAGTACAAAATGTACAGAACATTACTAGACTCATGCTTTCAGGTAAATTTTATGACACAAACGCTCTGCTCATCTCTGAATTTTCGTAGGTCACGTAACCATATCGATATCTGTGTGATTGGTTTATCAACCCTGAAAGTAGCATTTAAGACACAAACAATGATTCGTTCGCGCTTAAATAATTTTGAAACGTCTCTGGAATTTCTACTTTCTCCACAAATTTCTGGCTATCATCCGAATGAAGATATAGCATCGGACATCATCATACCTAATAATATCAACCTTGGAGCTCCAGAATTTCATCGTGCACGCGGTCTCGATATGCTACTCGGAGCAGAAATCTTTTTCTCTCTTTTATGTGTGGATCAAGTACGTCTGGGAGATAGCCTGCCAACTTAACAAAAAACGGTTTGTGGCTCGATAGTTTCCGGCAAGTATTCGGGCAATTTCATCCGCATCCCACTGCATAGCTGCACCCTTGAGCGATATGATCATCCAAAACGTTGAAAAACTATGGCAGCTTGAAGATGTAAATGTAAAACGAGAGCATGTTACCACTGAAGAACACCGATGTGAAACCCACTTTATTGACAGTGTGACCAACTGTAATAGGCGGATTCAGGAAAAACTCCCATTTAAGGGCGATGTCTGTAGTCTAGGAAATTCACGTCATATAGCTCTAACGCGCTTTATAGCACTAGAAAATAAGCTTCAGAAAAATCCTTCGCTAAAAACAGATTATAGCCAATTTTTAAAGGAGTACGAGGAACTGGGGCATATGTCTGTAGTACAAAACGTTAATCTAGATTCACCGTACTACTTTATACCCCACCACCGTGTGATCAAACCGGGAAGTACGACAACAAAACTAAGAGTTGTGTTCGACGCGTCATGTCGCACTTCGTCACAAGTCTCTCTAAACGATTTACTAATGGTCGGTCGTCAAATTAAAACTGAGTTCATTAAAACACTTCTTCGCTTTCAAGGCAACCGATACGCTCTTACAGCCGATGTTACGAAGATGTATCGGCAATTCATGCTGCATCCAGATGATCGTAAATATCACCTTATTCTCTGGCGTTATGACAAAGCTCAGCCAAATTTCGACATATAGTCTAAACGCGGTGATATATGGGACCGCATCGGCACCTTATCTAGCAATTCGTAGTCTTCATTATGCAGCAGACAATTTCCCGCACGGCAACGAAACGGGGAACAGGTCATTAAAAGCGATTTCTACGTTGATGACATGCTGACGGGAGCAAACGATTTGTCATCCCTATTAACAATTAAGAGATAAGTTACCGAAATTTTAAATTACTATAAACTTTCGCTTGCTAAGGGAATCCTCTATGAATGTCAAAGATATGCAGTTAGTCGACGGTGGCTTTACAAGCGCGCTTGGAATATCGTGCGATACGTGTGAAGACAGTTTTGCGTTCGCTTTCCAGCCTAGACACGTTACAACTAGCATCAAAAAGCGTTCCATCCTGTCAACCACATCGTCACCTTTTGATCCTCTCGGGCTCATCAGCCCTATAACAATCAAGGCAAAAATCTTGCTTCAAAAACGTTTGGATTCTTCAGTGCGACTGGGACGAGTCCGTACCTCAAATCATCGCAGGCGCTTGGGAATACATCCGCCAGGACTTACACCAGCTGCCGCATATACGCATACCGAGATTTTCAGGTATTGCAAACTGTGTCGACTGTGAGATGCGTCGACCAAAGCATATGGATGCTGCCTATATTTTCGCTGCGAAGACGAATGTGGAAACACTTCCGTGAACTAATTGTCAACCAAATCTCGCGTGGCCCCGCTCAAGGTTCGAACACTTCCCAGTTTAGAATTATGCGCTGCGCACTTGCTTGCGAAATTTTGGAATAAAATCAAAGACCATCTCAATCTGCAGCCCTCGAAAACATAATTTTGATCGAGTCTCTGAAGTACAACAATTTTCGAGCAATGGAACTTGGAGATATATTCCCACGGACCAAAACCCTGCTGAACTTATATCACGTGGCTGTTCAGTTAAGGACTTGGCTGAATCAACCTGGCTTCATGGACCGCCGTTTTCGTCTCAAGATGCGTCATCTTGGCCATCGCCTACAAACGGCTAGTTAAATATATGAAGAAGAACGTGGAGAAACGTAGGATCACGCTAACGTGCAAATCTACCGAGCTTCCATACCCACTGCAGAGAGTTCATAAGCAGCAGCTATATAAAGATCATTCGTATAATGGCAGTAATGTTGCGCTTTAAAGCGGCAAATCATAAGCTACGTGGTACGCCTCTTACCGCAGCAGAACTACAAGAATCACTCAAATGAATAGTCTGTACTGTTCAACAATATTACTTTGCACTCGAAATCGCTGCACTTGAGGAGCAGAAGGAGCTTAAAGGTGGACTTGTCTCACTAAACTCGTTTTTGCAAGACAATGGTCCAATTGAACTGTTGCGCATCGGTCGTCGTTTAAGACATGCAGACATTTCAGATTCTGCTAAGTGGCCACTTCTTCTACCAAAAAATTATCCTTTTGTAAAATGTATGGTATGACATTTTCATCTTACGAACTACCATGCAGGACCACGAGCTCTCGTGGCAATAGTACAGCAACAACTTTGGATAGTTAATTGCCGATCATTAGCTCGCGAAGTGGTGCAGGACTGCGTTCATTGCACACGTTTCAAACCCAGACTTCTTACACAAATTATGGGCGATCTACCAAAGCATCGAGTCACCAGTAATCGACCGTTGCAATCGCCGACCCAATCCTTTCCTATCTTAAACTACGAGGAAAGACTCCATTTAAATCTTACATAGCAGTTTTCGTGTGCTTTTCAACTAATGCAGTGCACCTTGAAGCAGTTACTGATCTTTCAAGTGATGCATTTATTGCCGCCCTTAAGAGATTCGTGAGCCGAAGAGGTCTACCATCAAAGATATATTGTGACAACGCAACCAATTTCGTTGGCGCTGACTCAAAACTAAAGGAGTTCGCCAAAAGCTTGCATAGTCCAACAAACATTACAAATATTTCTGATTTTTGTTCAACTAACTTTATGAAGTTCTCTTTTATTCCACCCAGAGCACCACATTTCGGAGGCCTCTGGGAGGCGGCAGTAAAGTCGACAAAGGCTCATGTGTGTCGCACACTGTCAAACGCGCGCTTGACATTCGAAGAGTTAAGTACTGCTCTAGCTGAAATTGAAGCGGTTTTAAATTCTAGACCACTTTGTTCACTGTCGTCAAACCCCAATGATCTAGAAGTTCTAATGTCAGGACATTTTTTGATGGGGTGCCCGATTAAAAGTATTCCAGAGCCTGCGAAACTGGTTGATGATATTTCCAATATACGGAGGTGGCAGAGGATAGCAAAAACAAATGCGCACTTCTGGCATAGATGGCATAGCGAATACTTGTGCGAACTACAAACTCGCCAGCGGTGGCAAAAATCCCAACGAAACTTCCAAGTTGACGACTTAGTTCTCGTTCATGATGACAACCAACCTCCAATGAAATGGGTCATTGGGCGAGTCACGAATGTTGTTGCTGGCAAAGATGGGTGCACACGGGTGGCAGATATTAAGACAGCCTCAACGAGCCTTCGACGTCCAATAGCAAAGCTAGCGATTCTGCAATTAAAATCAGATATTTCAATGCGGGCGGTATGTTTGGTCATAAACCAAATGAATTGGTTATTTACCATAATTGTACTGTACTGTTATGTAAAATTATCATATCAAAACCATTAGGAATTTACAGTAACATTATCTTATACTGTTATCTTCATATGCCGTTGCTCTCCTAACATTTCTCATTTTCATGTGTATTTGGCACTTACCGTTTTCAACAAAGCTTGTTAAAAGAAATGAAAATGAATTAAAACAAACACCAGAGTTTGGGCAGCAGAAATTATAAGTTGTCTTTTTATATTTCTCGCTTGCGAGAAGTTTGTTAATAATATAATTTATACAAACCCAAATCGAACCATTGCGTAGGAACAGTGGAAATCATTTTCAATTAATTCCCGAGGTGTCAAATCAGGCACTTTGATCTACTACTTTTTTTAACTTAATACAAGTACTTTATCTTTACAGCCTGTTTTTCTTCAACTGCCGTTGGAAACTCAATGTATCTATATAGTTAACAAGTTTTTTTGCATGATACTGGCAGTTTCTCTAATGCATCTACTGACGCTGCTTTGGGATACATTAAGTAAAAAGTATTGTCCCACCGAACGTTGATAGCTTCCAGAGACAGTACGAATTCAATTAATTCAACATTGAATATACATCAATATGTATGTATGTACATACCTTGAGCAAAACATCGCAATGCTACAAGGAACCTTAAAATTTTCGACAATCCACAACTTGATGTTCTTTGCAACAAAAAGAGCGGATTTCATTAAAAACCTTTCTACATATTTCTTTTGGAAGTCGACAAATTTCAGTAAACCGTTCCTCTGAAATACAGAAGGGGTCCGTGGATTCCCGCAACAATTTTCTTTTGCTTCGAAAACGGTTTCTTAAAGATCGCTCAGAGTTCAATGAAATACGAAACAAATATCTTCGCAACCCACTCTTCTTGACCACGTATGTATTACCACAACATTCTTTCTTAATATTATAATGAAATAGACCGAGATTGCGGCTTTGATTTCTGATTTAGAGCAAATGATATCTAAATTACAACTTTTAACTAAATTCCCGTGGGCCATAAATATAAAAAAAAAGTTTACATTTATCTTCAACTACACCAGCGAAACCTGCGGCGGATAAAAGTATTACAATTTTCCTTGGAGAGTTTTAGAGATGAACCAGGCAGAATCGCATTTAAGAAAAATCGCATATAGTTCGGAAAATTTTTTAGCATCTGGATATTTGGAGAAAACATTAAATGCACAACATACAAAATTACAGGTCACAGTATAAAAAGAGAATAATAACAAAATAACCTTCCTAGATGTAGGATGTCTTTTGGCTAACTGCGTCGGGAAGATATTAAAATGTCATCTGTTTCTATTTGAGATCTTGGAGATTTTCTTTTAATTGATAAGAGTTTTTTATAAATCTATCTGATGTCATATTTCTTAGAATATTTCCCATACCTTTTTATAGTTTATAATGACGACGATATTGGTCGTAGAGCTGTTGTAGGTTTGTGGATTTTGGGGAGGCCGCCACGCTGTTAAAACCGTTTCCAAGGTCGACAACATCCTGACCGGGTGATTTGAGGCTGTCCAAAGACTAAATAGTATATCTTATGTCATTTTCATCAGTTCTGGAAAAAAGCCAGTTGAGGGAATGCGTAACCTGATTTCCAGAAAGGTTAGCTCTAGAAGAGCAGAGAGGATCTCAATCTTAGTCTCGGTTATAGAGCTATCAGGCCTCTTGAGTAAACCCAGCTTTGTGGTTTGGTCCTTCTTCAGAACTTTTACCAGCCTGACCTTTTGAGCCAAGGTTTCAATCCCGCTGCAGTATTCTTCAAAAGAGGCCCTATTTGCAGCAGGAATTAGCTAGTCCATCTCAAAATCATTTTTGAGGGCCCAGTGTAAAAGATTTCTCGACTCACCCCTCAACTTATGAAAATCTGCTCCACCAGGAAACAGGCATATGGCTAATAGGTGGGCCAGACGGGCAAGCCTTATCCAAACTGGTGGCACGTAGGGCTGCGGTTAAATTAATCTCCTCTTCTTCTTATTTGCCGCTGTAACCGCCTAAGCGATTTTGACCGAGTTCAACAAAGCACGCTAGTCATTTTTTTTCTGTGCCAACTGACGCCAAATGGAAATTCCAAGTGAAGCCAAGTCCTTCTCCACCTGGTCTTTCGATCTCAGTGGGGCCTCCCTCTTCCTCTGCTACCAACAGCGGGTTTCGAGTTGAATACTTTCAGAGCTGGAGTGTCGGTGTCCATTCGAACGACATGGCAAAGCCAGCAGAGCCGCTGTATTTTAATTCGCTGCACGACGTCGATGTCTTTGTAAAGCTTATAAAGCTCATCGTTCAATCGTCTGCCGTATTTTCCGTCGCCAATGCGTAAAGGCCCGTAAATCGTCCGCAAAATGTTTCTCTCGAATACTCCAAAAACCGTCTCATCGGATGTTGT